GGTACAGTTCCAGTGCCCAGAGCCGGAAGCCCCGAAGAGGAACGGGAGCACGAGATCACGCACTCACGGCGCAGCAGCGGCGGCAGCACTGAGGTAACACTTTCACCGGAATCGCGAAGCTAAGCTTGGGGGGCTGGAGGGGGCGAGGGAGGGGGAAGAGGGAAAAAAGAGGTTGTGCTGGGCTCCCCCGTTGGTCCGGGCAGATGAAATTCATTTGAGCTTGTACAGCGGACTGTTATCAGCGAACGATTTCTACAGTTTCATTGCAGAAAAGCACAAGCGAATCCGAATTCTCCATCATCGACGAGCCGAGCTGCGAGCCTCACATGGACCCTGCGGAAGACGATGAATTTCTGCAGCGATGCCTGCACCCACCGCCAGAAGAACGGGAATCCATACTGGACTTCAAGAACCATCTTTTCCTGCACTGGGTCGCCTCAGACACCGTCCAGTGCTGGAGTCTGTTTCATTTATTCGTTTTTGCATCCTTATGCAAATGGAAAAATGCATATTGTCAAGGGTATATGTGTGTGTGTATGTTTGTGTCTGTATGTATGGGTATGTGTGAATGTGTACGTATGGGTGTTTATATATGAGTGTGTGTATATACATGGGTATTTGTGGATGTGTATGAGTGTGTGTGTATAGGTGTGTATTTGTGGGGTGTATGTATAAGTGTGTGTGTGTGTATAGGTGTGTATGTATAGGTGTGTACGTATGGGCATGTATTTATGGGTGTGTATGTATGAGTGTGTGTATGTTTGCATTTTTTATCACCCACTTTTAACTCAGCAACTAAAAAAAGCTGGGAAACTGAATTGTAATTTTAATTTTAGATGATGTGTGTTTATGTAAAAAGTTAGGGTTTGAAAGTAAGGGAATAAGAGGAATGTGAATAAGTTAAATCGGAATAAAAACCTGAATAGGAAACCTTCTACTGGCAGTTAGCCTGGGAAAGCAAGGAATTCCAGAGAGAAAAAGAAACTGACGTATGTAGCATTTCATAAGTATCGAAAAATCCACAGCTGTGGTCTGCGCAGTCTTTATAATTAATGTATTACTCAAAAATTATCAGTGGCACTACCGCTGAATTTTAGAGATGCATTTCTTCAATCACATATAAAGGCCCGAATCGAGGACAGAGTAGCGTGGGAAAGCCGTGTGATTGTGTGTTTGTGTGAACTGTTGAGGGTTCACACTGGTGAATGCAAACCACCAATGGGTTGAGGAGCTGCTTGAGGCTGTGGTTGGGAAGCTAGAGATCTGAGTTTAAAATTTTTATCTCGCACGTTCATAGAGAATATCCTTGCAAAGTTTCAGCTTTCATCGTTGTCTGGTTCGCGAAATCGTTTCCCGCCGACACATTTCTTTGGGGGTCTAGGCATCTAGACGCGTATGGGAAAAGATTTAAAACGGGAGGATGACACACGGGGTTGGAACATATATCCAAAGTTTCAGCCTCCCAGCTTTCCTGATTGACGGGAGGATGACACACGGGGTAGGAACATATATCCGAAGTTTCAGCCCCCCAGCTTTCCTGGTTGCGGGCAACAAATTCTTTTGGAGGTCTCGTGCGCGGGGTTTAGGCGCGTATGGAGGAAGATCTTAAAACAGAGGATGACACACGGGGTAGGAACATATATCCAAAGTTTCAGCCTCCCAGCTTTCCTGGTTGCTGAGACGAAAGTGGGTAACAAAATGCACTTGCTTTCCGAACACACGCACACACACACAGATAGCCTCTCGACAATATGCGTTTTTGGTGGCTGTAGCAGCGCTATAGCGCTGCACAGAAAA